CCAAAAAATGAAATGCGAAAGTAAATAAGCAGGATGAAGATTTTTTTAATATCAAGGCAAAAACACATCCTCCACCTAAATTACAAAACTAAAAAGGTGGCAGAATTAAAATATACACTTAAAGTAACAATAACACAACAGACACTGCACAAAATCTAAGCGTGATGCATGAAACTAACCTGATCACTCCTGAAACACAAAATCAAAGAGATGAAGAGATAACATGTAAAATAATAAAAGTTTCTTCAAATGTTTTAGGATTATAACTCCTAACTAGGTGCAAAAGCAAACCAAACTTGAAGTGAAATGAAAACAAAACAACACAAATGAAGTTAATTCAGTATGCTATTATGCTGAAACGAAAACAATGCTCCACATGAGACTGTGGTACTGATTCCAAAGATGCAGATTCTTGCCCATGACCTTCTGGTTCATAGATTGACATTCAGTGGGTGAATGTCAATCTATGAACCAGAAGGTCATGGTTCGATTCCTGGTTAGGACACATGCCCTGTTTGCAGGCTGGATCCCCTATAGCAGGAGACAAAGCAGGAGGTAGTTGATCAATGTTTTTCTCTCATCAATGTTTCTATCTCTTGCTCGCTCTCTTTTTCTCTCTCTGAAATAAAAAATAAAAAACTTATTTTTAAAAGTGCAGATTCTTAGAGTCTGCCATGACATCACCGCAGACTAAGTGACAATTCCATTTCTCTCTTTCCCACATCACAAAACATGCAATGACATTTTTACAATCTGCTATAAATGCTTCATTTACATGTTAAGTCTATTCTTTTACCTCTGCTCATTTGATATTAGAATAAAAAAAAACTGAAGCATTACTACTATGTAAAAATGAAAGGTACCTTTAATAGTATATTACTATATTTTGGATGGGCAGATAATTTACTCATGAACATAGAGGTGGAAAAAGTAATATTATGTATGCTATCAAATTTAGCATATGCTTTTATATCAAAATGATCAGATATGCATATCACTGTGAGTGATGCAACACATTGTTATTTATAGTCACAATGATACCCTCATGAAACTAAAGTTAAACCCAATGAATTCAAGGAAAGAAAACTAACATGTACTGAATGTCTGTATATCAAGCACTATTAACATAGCAAATGCTTGAAGGTATAAGTATTATTGGGCGGATTAAAGAAATAGCAAGATACATGTTTAACAAGTGTCTAAAATAGTATGACCACTTAAATAAATGTTATAAAGAGAATTATATGATTAGGTTCAGTTTTCATGAAGCTCAATCTGTCCATGCCAGTCCTGGCTCGGCACCAGATTTCTTCCCAATTCTGTTTCTGTATTTGTTCCATCTAACTCTAATTTCTGACCTAGTACCAGCTACAACAGTAATGACTTGTGTGACAATGGGCTTCTGTTTTTCAATCAGTTAAGGTAATCTTCAAAATGTAGTTTATCAGTGTGAATTATATAACCCTTTAAGCTTTGAATACAATTTTCATTAATATAGATTCACAACATCACAAAAATGTGAGCAACCATGAGGTAAATGAATCCCGACACTAGATTTTAGGATAAAATCGTTGATTGTCACTGACTAGCTGGGAGACTGTGGGCAAGTTAGCAACCATTCTGTGCCCCAGTTTTTTATCTTGTAAATGAGGAAAATAATAGAATCTACCTAACAAGATTGTTGAGAGAATTAAATGAGTTGATAGTTTATTATAAAAGCACCTGGGATATGCTAAGTTTTAGAGAAATGCCCAGGGAGACGGTGAAAAGGCAGGTGTTGCTTCTCTACAAAACACACAGATGCCCTGCTACCTTCTAACACTGCTCAGCTTCACATATCATAAGCATTCTATGTTAGAATGATTCAAGGGGTCATCAGCAAAATTACGTACATTTCAAGGAAAGGTAGTAAAAAAAATGACCCAACTTGCTCTTGACCCTAAGGCCTCACAAAACCAACAGCAATGACTCTGATAGATCTCTCGTTGGGTGAGGTCATCTCAGGAGGAAAACACCATATCAATTATTTACATCCCCCCTCACCAACTGGCAAATTATGTTCACAAAATTAAACCCCAATCAAATCACTATGTTAAATATGTATATAACATCCATGTCCTGAGGCTTAGCAATAGAATCATTTATAAAATCTAAGTTAATAATAAAATGTCTTGTCTTCCCTAGAGCAAAAGTGTTGATCTGACTTTCTAGGAAATCTCTTATATTTTAAAAAAGAAATGCTAATTTCAATGAGGCAATAGATATTTATAAGGGAAGAATATTTTAACAGTTGGGCATTGGTTAAAATGGATTAAGCTGTGACAGGATTTTTTTAATATATATATATAACAAGTTTCACAGCAAGAGGACTTTATAAGTTGCAGCACAGTCTCAAAAATAAAAACATCGATTTCCAGGGTTCCTCCCTAAACAGTGCACACATTGGTTAAAAGAAAAAATGGGTAATACTACCATGTACTTCAAGGACTTCAAGAATATAAATAGAGCCCAACCGGTGGTGCTCAGTGGTTGAGTGTTGGTCAATAAACCAGGAGGTCATGTTTTGGTTCCTAGTCAGGGCACATGCCTGGATTGCAGGCTCAATCCCCATAGGGAGTGTGCAGGAGGCAACCGATCAATGATTCTCTCTCATCATTGATGTTTCTATTTTTCTCTCTTCTCTCTTCCTCTTCTTCTTCCTTCCTCTCTGAAATCAATAAAAATATATTTTTTAAAAAGGAATATAAATAGAAAGATTCAGATGATCACATGATCCTTGGCACATTACATATACTCATTTTTAGGAGTAAAATATCCCATAATAGTAAATATTTTAATAAGAAAACTATTTTCATTGAGGAGCCCACAGAATCACTTGTTGCGAGAAATACTCTTCCTGAGTTGCACATCTTCCAATAGATTATAGCAGATGCTCCCCAGGTAACTTATAGGTGACACGATGAAGATCACTGCTCTATCAAGTGAATATAATGTCAGGCAATGTCTGACATTACTCCTCTGGCTTGCTGGAGGGGAAAATCACTGAGAACCAACTACTTTAGCAGAACAAGAATTTGGAGAAATTTAGGAGGAGACTCTAGATCTAAGAATAAGTCTGAAGCCAAAAAAAGACTCTTGCTCTCCTACGTCTTATTTTTTATAAAGTGGCTTTGCATACTATATACTTACAATTCAGATGGAAATGAAGTACCTGTTGAATGTATTTACTTCCCATATATAAAGCCTCCAGAGTTCAGCATTATTTAACTCAAGGCCTACCTCAAAGGCTTACTGCCATAGTAGAGCATACTTTGTGTTTTAAATGCTTATCTGCACAGAAGTTTCTCTAATTCATAATTTCATTTCCCAATTGCAAATTCAAAGAAAATTTGCTACTATAAGCAAGCATCTATTATTCAACATGACAAAGTAGGATTGTTCTCTGCAATTAGTGGTTTTAATTGTTCACTAAAATTAAAAGGCAGAGTATTAACTCCCATTATTAATAAAGTAGTTTAAGCTAAAGCTTTTAAGGAGCTACCCAAATATATAAAATCTAAAGCTTCATCTGTCAAATACATCATAAATCATGAAACTATTTTAGCTGCAAAAAAATCTAAATGATAGTAGCGGAAAACCTTATGACAAAAGATACATTTCCCTGTGTACAAGCAATTAGTTTCCAATTACAAGCAAACAATGCTAACTATTCTTCCAATTTATAAAAAGAAAATAAATCATCAATTATAACTTGGAAGTTATGTGACAATTCAGTACAGCATATATATGGCAATCATAGTACAAATACAATTCTAGTCTTATTAAAGTGTATATTCATTCTGAAAACATGGAGAAATAAATTTAATTGGATTCCCAAGAGTTTGCAGATGAATTAACAAATTTCAAAAGAGGAAATAATATAGATTAAATTAATAAAATATTAATAAAAAATATACTTTTACTCCAGAATTCTTGGATATGTTTCCTTCTTACATACCCATGTGAAGTAAGTACAAAATGGCACATCCTTGAGAGGGCAATTTTGAAATATTTAGCATATTTTAAGTATACATATCCTTCAACCCAGCAACTCTGCTCCCAGGAATCACATATAATTACAGAAAAACATTAGTACCATAATGCTCATTGGTACATTATTACAACAATATAAAAAAAAATTTAATACACCTATTCTATGCAGTATAATGTAATTTCAAAAAAATGTGTCATATGGAAAATAATATAAACACATATTACTAAATGAAAAAGTTTGCATAACATTACATATGATTCCAGTTTATAAAGCAATCACATGTAAGCTTATGCATGCACAGAAAATGTTTGGAAAAATATACAAGAAACTATCAAAACTGTTACCTTTTTGGAGTGAAACTCAAAAGGGCTATGAAATCGGAGTTTTATTATTTATTTAAACAATGAGCATGTATTACTTTAAAATAAACTGTCCTTGCCAAAACCGGTTTGGCTCAGTGGATAGAGCGTCAGCCTGCAGACTGAGAGGTCCCAGGTTCCATTCCGGTCAAGGGCATGTACATCCCCAGTAGGTGGTGTACAGGAGGCAGCTGGTTGATGTTCCTCTCTCATTGATGTTTCTAGCTCTCTATCCCTCTCCCTTCCTCTCTGTAAAAAATAAATAAAATATTTTTTTAATAATAATATTTTTAAAAAATAAAAAATAAACTGTCCTTAAAATTCTTACCTCTCCATGAGAGTTAGCCCAAAGTTAGTAACTCTCAGTGTAATTCATGTCCTGAGTTCTTCCCCCTCTGACCTTACATTTTCAAATTCAATAGAAGCTAAATGATATAGCTAGTTGGCCATCTAGCTGATGAGCTAAACTAAATTTATACTTCAAAATAGCGAAGCAGTCTAAAAGTTAAAACTGTTAACAATTATTATCTTTTTTAGTTCATATCCTTAATCCTCAGCTCTGCATTCCCAAGAAGATAAGAGCAAATACAAACATGCAAACATCTTACGTGTTCTATAGCACCTGCCTGTCCGTTACTATAGTCTCGATAATGTCCAAGCATCTGGTCTACTTGTTGCAGATTTCGACTGGTATCCTTGAGAAAGAAAATGGACTTTATTAGTTGTTCCAAACAATGTTTTTCCCAATCAGTCGTAGTAGCATGTCAAATAGCTAAGTCAACCATTTTCAAAGGTACAATTTATATCATAGTTAAGTCAGATATCAATATATTTCATAAATATCAAATAAATCTTAACACAACTGAGAAACTAAAAACCATCTGCAATTTACATGTGTGAAGTCTAAAGTACCTAATTTAAATCCTTATCCAAGGTACCGTAAGTCAGCAACAAAATTATAAACTAAAAAAAGCCCTCATAATCAACTTGTGCACCTCAACTAATTCACATCCTTTATGAAAAAGAATGCTAAAAGAATTAATCTAGTAGATTATCTCCAAGAGAAGTAAATCATTGGGATTCAAGTTATTTCAATTATTGCTTTACTTGAGAACTAATAATAAATTTAGTACTAATTATAACAAAAATGGTTTCTACCTAAATATGCTAGGTTTCACCTGAGAGATTAATGGAGGTATTTCTTTCAAAAACATATACTTTCTGCCCTGGCTGACATGGGTCAATGCTTAGAGCGCCCGCCTGCCCACTGGAGGGTCTTAAGTTGAATTCCATGTCAAGGGCAGTTACCTAAGTTGCAGATACAATTCCCACCCCCAATCAGGGTGAATGTGGGACGAACCAATCGATGTGTCTCTGTCACAATGATGTTTGTCTCTCTCCCCAACTCCTCTTCCTTCTACTCTCTAAATTCAATGAAAAAAATATCCTCATTCTTTAGGAGATAATTAAAATATATATGAGTGACCAGATTATTATTATCTCTGAACACATAATAATCTGGCCACTCAGTGTATATCCTATATAATAAAAGGCTAATATGCAAATTGTCCCCTCGACCAGGAGTTCGACCAGCAGGCAGGTGAGCAAACTGCCCATGTCCCCTCCCCCTGGCCAGTCTGGCCAGCCCCCACCATGCACAAATTCATGCTCCGGGCCTCTAATATATACATTGAGTGGCCAGATTATTATGATCTCTGAATGCATAATAATCTGGCCACTCAATGTACATATATACGTGTGTACACACACACACACACACACACACACACTAATGTGTCTCTGTTGTGGGAAAGTAAAAGAATTTGTACTCCAAAATTCATCGTTATTTTAAATTTAAAAATAAACATCAAATCAAATTATGGCCTCTCCATTAGAAATTAGCCTTTTTTTTTTTTTAATCTAAGCTTATCTACCCAGAGCAATAAAAAGCCAAAATCCATGCTTATCCAGGTAAGCAAAGATAAGGGAGTAATAGATAGTGGGGGCAGGTGGAGGGGGAGGATTCTATTTCTGAGTTTTCTTTTTCCCATTGTGACTGTGGTACCTTCTCCCACCTCGTTTCCCAAACCCCTTTTATGGAAGAATGAGAACTGCCCCCACTCAAATCTCCAAACACTATCAAAATTAGCCTGCAAATCAAAATGGACTCTATTATTCATTCATGAATAATCATATTTTGATTATTAGCCAAAATATGAGCAATTTCTCCAAAGACACATGTCCACAAGAAGCTAAAGGATGGTAATCCCTAAAGGTTTCATTCCTACAATTTTTATTTGGAAATATAACACTTTCCACAACTTGTCATATATTTCAAATATCATTACTAACTGTGGTAAGCATAATGGCTTTCAAAGATGTTCAAAGCCTAATTCTTGGAACTTTAAATGTCAAAAGGGATTGTGCAGATGTGATTAAACTAAGGATGTTGAGAAGAGCAATATCCTGGATTACTGGGTACACTCAATATGATCACAAATGTCCTTAAAAGTGAAAAAGAGAAGCAGGAGAGGTAGTCAGAGTGACGCACTATGAGAAGGACTCGACCCACCCCTGCTGGAGATGAACAGAGCCACAAAACAGAAAATGTGGGTAGCCTAGAGCTGGAAAAAGGCAAGAGGACAGACAATTTACTGGGGCCTCCAGAAAGAAACGCAGCCCTACCAACACCTAATTATTGCCCAGTGAAATTAGTGTCAGATTCTGACCTACAGAATTTTAAGAAAATAAATTTCTGTTATTTTAAGACATTAATTTTGTGGTAATTTGTTGTGGTAGCAAAAAAAAAAAACATACAGTGACTAAAACTATTACTCAGCTTAACTATTTAATATTGATTTAAAGCATCCAGTGTTAAACTAACCTGTAAAGTACTTGTTATAGTGTTGACCTTCTTGGTGACATTGACTGTAGGACGATTTCCGATTTCCCTGTGTATTGACCTGGCACCCCATCGACTCAACCGATCATGAGAGCGGAAGTGGTCTGAATCACTCGAGGATTCTGCCATTGATGTACACAAATCCTTAAAAAATAAATTCAGTTCATGGTCAAGCAAACGGTAAAGAGAATGGAAATAAGAAATTAATTTAGCTATTTACTTTTTTATCTTTTAAAGTATTTATTACATTAGTCCTTGGGCTTAACATAATAGTTACATACAGTTTAAAAACATAAGTCACTTCCTCACATAATTCTCCCTCCTTTGTTTTTTTCTGCTTTAGAAGAGCAACTCCTGCCCAGCCAATGTGGCTCAGTGGTGAGCAGCGACCTATGAACCAGGAGGTCAGAGTTTGATTCTCAGTCAGGGCACATGCCCAGGTTGTGGGCTCAATCTCCAGTGTGGGATGTACAAGGGCAGCCGACCAATGATTCTCTCTCATCATTGATGTTTCTCTCTCTCCCTCTCCTTTCCTAACTGAAATCAATAAAAATATTTTTTTTTAAAGAGAAGCAATCCTTGCCGAAACCTGCTCAGGGGTAGAGCGTCGGTCTGTGGACTGAAAGGTCCCGGGTTCGATTCCGGTCAAGGGCATGTACATTGGTTGCGGGCACATCCCCGGTGGGGGATGTACAAGAGGCAGCTGGTCGATGTTTCTCTCTCATCGACGTTTCTAGCTCTCTATCTCTCTCCCTCTTTGTAAAAAAATCAATAAAATATATTTAAAAAAATAATAATAAAAAAAATAAAGAGAAGCAATCCTCAAATATTATTTTAGTTACATTTACAGCTCCAAATAATAAAAATCCTTTAGGCGCCGAAACCGGTTTGGCTCAGTGGTAGAGTGTCAGTCTGCAGACTGAAAGGTCCCGGGTTCAATTCCGGTCAGGGGCATGTCCGTTGGTTGAGGGCACATCCCCGGTAGGGGGTGTGCAAGAGGCAGCTGGTCGATGTTTCTCTCTCATCGACGTTTCTAGCTCTCTATCTCTCTCCCTTCCTCTCTGTAAAAAATCAATAAAATATATTAAAAAAATAAAAATTAAAAAATAAAAATAAAAATAAATAAAAACCCCTTGGTTCTGTGTGATGTTCCTATATTTTAAAAGCACTTTCACATACAGTATCTTATTTAATCCTACTAACAAATAAATAGTACAAATAGATTGGTTTCTCTAAAGTACAGATTCTCTAGGACCTGCATGTCTTAACATTAGTCTGATGTTCATTCTACTGCACTTAAGAACAATTGTATCTTTAAACCAAAATGCAACACACACAGAATTACCTAAAGAGAACCCCAGTGTACAGTGAATACTCTCATGCACCTAAATTTACAATATAGATTTAAACAAATGCAGTAACAAAGGTAAAATTCTATAACAATATGTGGGAAGATGGCATCATCAACATCCCCACCAAATTAGAAAATCAAACTTCCTGAGTATAATTTCATCAGTAAACAATTTTCTAAATATGCTGTTTTTCTCCTCCTTACCTCAATTTTCTATATAGTGCAAAAGTAAATTAGTTCATGAAGGACAATCTCAAAACTTTTTAGAGAAGTTGAAGAAACAAATGTGTTTGAGACAAAGAAATATCAGAGAAAACTCAATTGATCAAAAGTGTAAGTTTATTGACTATTCTAATAATTCTATTTTCTGCTTAATGGAGAGTTAATGTGACTTTTAACATTAATTGCTATACTCTTCCTAAAATTTATATGGTCATTTTTTTCTTACTTATTAAATTCAGTGTGATGAAATCTTTCTTTAATGATCTAGAACAGAGGTTGGCAAACTCATTAGTCAACAAAGCCAAATATCAACAGTACAATGATTAAAATTTCTTTAGAGAGCCAAATTTTTAAAACTTAAACTTCTTCTAATGCCACTTCTTCAAAATAGACTCGCCTAGGCCGTGATGTTTTGTGGAAGAGCCACACTCAAGGGGCCAAAGAGCCAAATGCGGTTCGCGAGCCACAGTTTGCCAACCACTAACTTATACCTACTGTAGATTAAGTATTTTAATCAGATAGAATCACACTTATCAGCATAAATTTCACTAATACACACCCACAGTCTTAGCTATTAATTTCAATTACTTTGAGTAATAAACCAAAATGCAATGCACACTGATGGAACACCAGTAGGAAAATCAAGATTTAGGTGAGATAGAGATAAGAATTTGGTATGGCTGTCTTCTAAATAGCATATAAGTGTCATAAATGTTGAATAAGGGAAATTAAAGAATCTGAACACAATATAAAATAGAATTCGATTATTTTCATAGTTAATAAAATTTAGCACTTCCTTCAACTATTACTGACAATTCAAAAGGTCAAACATGACTCTCATAGCTAACTGAAAGAATGCCTCACCTTAAATGTCACAACATAGAAGACAGCTATAGTAGCAAAGGTCCAACTTTTTAAAAAATATATATATTTTTTATGGATTTTTTTACAGAGAAGAAGGGAAAGAGGGACAGAGACTAAGGAACACTGATGAGAGAAAAACATCGATCAGCTGCCTCCTACATACTCACTATTGGGGATGTGCCTGCAGCCAAGGTACATGCCCTTGACCAGAATCGAACCTGTAACCCTTCAATCTGCAGGCCAACGCTCTATCCACTGAGAAACCAGTTAGGGCAGCAGAGATCCAACTTTACCAAAAAGATGCCTGTCTATTACCAACCAACACTGCCACTCTGCAGACACAGAGTTGATGTAGGGAGAAAGAAACACATAAGAAAGAAGTGGCCACTGGAGTGGTCAAGAGACTCCTGCCATATAATCAGAACCCAGAATAAAATGTCTGGATGATATTAAACACAATTACAATATGAAGCCCAAAGAATAATTATTAAGACTGATAGAAAAACACCGATGTGTGCTCAAGGAAAATCTTTATCATTCTTTTTAAAGATTCAAAAGGAAAAAGTTCAGTTGGATTAAAAATCTATTCTCATTATCACAAGAAGTTTCAGTATGACATCTGTTGGGGGGGGGGGGAGTTGCTAAATTTGAAGAATGATTGAAGAACTCAAAGAACAATTTTTAAAAAAACTGAACCACCCAAATTCTGGTTAAAGGGGAGAAAAGTGTTTCATTCAACTAGAGAAAAAGCAGAAGATATTCTCTTACTACCACCTACTGGTGCAACAAAACTTCTCATTGATCAAGAAGCAATAGCATGCATCTGGCTGCTTTTCAGTCGTTGAGCTTTCTCCAAGACTAGAGAGGACTGGGACAGGTGACCTTGGGTGAAAGCCTCCAGAGTCTTAGAGAAAGCTCTGGGTCTGAAGCCAGATGGTACAACTCTAAAATTACTTTATTTCGCTGTTCCCAACACATCAGTATTTAAAGGCATAAATACTGTTGCTTCTGCCTTAACGAGCCTTATAAAGATGACATACTGCCACCAGAGTGAGCAATGAAGCTCCAATTCGCTCCCACTGAGGATCTGTCCACCAAAGACCAATGCAATGCCTATGTGCAAACCTGAACACTGTGAGCAGAGAGAGCAAAAGTGCATTTGGCCCTGTAATAAGAGCACTGGCAGAGGGTCTGTACAAATTCAAGTCCACCTCTTCTGTTATTTGACCTAAAAAGCCATCAGATTGTCTTCATTATAATGATGCACATTTGTATGTATGAGAGCTGTAATTTATAGATTCTCAAGTCCCTTTTCCTCAGAGCCAGTTTAAAACAATTAGAATTTGCAAGCTGTTCCATAAAAGATAAGCACCCAGCATCAAGGGTGACATTTCACAAAAGCTGACTAGTGCATGTTAAGTAGGTGATTACTTCTGTGGCCTCCAAGTGCCTCAGCCGTTCCTGTCCAACGCAACCGTCCTCAAAGAACACGTTCAAGGTAATGATGTTGATATTTAAGGGGATCGCAGGAGGTGGAGGTGTAGTTTAGGCTTAATCATTATCAAAGTTCAAATTTTAGAAGGCATTTCTCACTGTTTCGACAGCTGCAGGTCTTGAGATCTTTGCCTCCTCCTTCAAGAGACAAAGTGAACAAGCCAGAAAAGGTTATCATGTACAAACAATTTTCAGTCATGTCTGGCTTCTTGATATCAACACTCCTCTGTAACTTAATCTCCTCAAACCCTTTTGGTAAGTTCATATAAGATCAAAGTCAACAGCCAATTCTCTGTGAAGTCAATAAATAAAGTAAGACATAGGAGGGAAAATCAAAAAAGATACATGAGTCCTGGCTGGGTGACTCAGTTGGTTGGAGCATCATCTCTTGCAGGTTTCGGGTTCGATTCCTGGTCAGGACACATATCTAGGTTAAGGGTTTGATCCCCAATCATCAGGGAGGCAACTAATCAATGTTTCTCTCTGACATCGATGTTCTCTCTCTCTCTCTCTCTCTCTCTCTCTCTCTCTCTCTCTCTCTCTCCCTCTCCCTCTCCCTCTCCCCCTCTCCCTCTCCCCCTCTCTCCCTCTCTCCCTCTCTCCCTCTCTCCCTCTCTCCCTCTCTCCCTCTCTCCTCTCTCCTCTCTCTCTCTGTCTCTCTGTCTCTCTCTCTCTGTCTCTCTCTCCTCTCTCCTCTCTCCTCTCTCCGCTCTCCACTCTCCTCTCTCCCACCTTCCTGTCTCTCTAAAATCAATAAAAAATATTATTAAAAGGAAAGAGAGAGAAAAACTTGAACACATTTGTGCATTCATTTACTCAATTAAATCTGCATTAGAAATGAAAGATGGGAGAGAAAGAGCCGTAAAAGTGCTCTCTACAGGGAGCAAAGTACTACAACAAATGCCAGAGCAGTGGGGTCAGGATCCTCCCTCCCATCTGGAAGAATGAGCATAAATTTGACAAATAGATAAGACAAGGATGGGGATCCAGTTAGAAAACTTCTTTTTCAGAAGTAGAGAAGATACAAATAAGCAGAGTGCCTGCATTCTTCCTTCAGGGAATGGATAAACCCATCTCCAGTACTGCTACTAGGGTAGGAAGGGGTGACTGGGTAAAATCATCCCAGTTTGAGACTTCTGACTTAGAGAATTAACATTTTTAAATAAATAAATAATATATATAATGATTTGATTTTATA